GAGTCTGGACCAGACAATCCAGTGATCAACAGCATGAGCATCGATCTACGCAATTGGGATGCGATGACATGTGTCAACCAAGTCTGCGAGCCTGACCACCCGATCCCGTTTGTCGCCTCTTACGACAAGCATGGGTTGCTGCAGATCAATTCTAACCCGGACCTTCACGGGTCCAACATTTTATGAGTATTAAGGCTGCTGCAACTGACAGGTATTGATGATAGATAATATGGAATTGTTTTAAAACCCCGTTAATCAGGAAATACAGCTTACCGGACCTAAGCGTCTACATATATGGCTACATTTAAACTTCCCATGATCCAAATTAACATGGTTTTATCATATAAGACTTGAGCAGATGCAACAATTTATATAATATTTTAATATTTTATTATAACGGGTTCAATTGGAGTAATTATTAAATGAGATGATATGGGGAGATTGACAGCAGGGGAACAAAAGTTTCACATTATTTCCAAGAGTCTGTGAGCAAGAGAGGTATTTTCGACTTTTCAGAACGTATGAATACTTAGCTTAACATGCTTTAAAAGTGTGTAATATTTTGCAAAACAGCTTAATGAAATATTAAATTTAAAGTTTTCACAACAGCGCTGATTTTTTTCGTCTTCCACATTCTGCTATACAGGTATGTTATCACAGAAGTATGTGACGAAGACATGTTATACTATATGGACAAGTTCTGGTATGTTAGACCCTAGGCGGTCTATGGACTGAGAGAGATATCCTCGCCATGAGGTCAATATGTATGTGAGTGATGTTCTTCACATTTAAAAAACGCTTGTGTCCTTTTAAATGTTTAAAATGCGGCGAGCGTATCAAAGTAAGAGATACTTGCACTTACTTCTGTCAGTGACTGCCTCGTTCTGTTTAAGATTTTTTTTTGTAGTGACAGATTTAATATTGCATTTTATATTACGGATTTTTGTTAACTAGTCAAACGCGTTCAACTCTAACATTTAAAAAACCCTCAAGATTTACAAGACTCCTCATGCTGGGATATCTAATGACATAACACCGAGGCCTAGAGAAGTTCATTAGTGGAGTTAGACAGATTATAACCTTGTATTTTAGGGCGGTGCATGGGTAGCCTAATGGTTAAAGAGTTCGCTCGTCATGCCGAAGACCCGGGTTCGATTCTCGACATGGATACAATGTGTCCCCCGCCGTAAAACCATACTCACTCACAAGCTGGTTTTCAGGCACTATGAATTATCAGGTTTTATTACCTACGAGGGCGAAAATATCGGGGTTCAGATTTTTCTTACGATGCCCTAGGGCAAAATATCACTTTGACATGGTGACGTGACGTCATGAACAATGCTATGACGTCACGTTTCTTCTATGACGTTGCGTTCTACTTGCGGCGACGGCAGGGTAGCCAGCCTGTTTATGAAAGTAGATTTGGGTGTATTTTCGTCAATTTGACGACTTCGGTAATAAATAGAATATTATATTCGTGCCCATATCATACTATGTTTACGACACTCGTGTCTAAATATCAGTATATCCCTCACTCTCGCTCGGGAAATACGTAGAGATTATTATACACTTCATTATTCATATCTTGCCCGATATCATCCCGAGACACCCATATCTGACATGGGTTGATGATGACACAAACAACAAAAACAAATATTCCGTTCAATGAATTTAATAAACTCAGAAGACATAGAAAGACAGAAGGAACAGTAACAGGAACATACTGCTTCGTTTCGATTTCCATATTTCCTTCGTCCTTTCCCTGGTACTATCATTGATATTAAACTTTCATGGAAATCAAATTCACATCGTGTCTATAGGAAAGCACAACAGAGGCTTTTCTTTCTGCGAAAATTGCGATCATTTAATGTAGACACTAATATCTTAAAATTATTCTACCAAACATTCATTAATAGTATTTTAACTTTCTGCTTTCATGCCTGGTATGGCAATCTTCCTCTTACACAGAAAAACAAACTTGACAAAATTGTAAACATATCCAGCAAAATTTGCGGCTTCAATTTCGAACCTCTACCTTTTCAGTATGAGTCAAAAGTTAAGAAGAAAGCTCTGGCCATTCAATTGGATCCATCACACTTTTTAAATGAATGTTATGAACTTCTGCCTTCTGGCCGCCGTTTCAAAATCATGTATTACAAAACTAATAGAACTTCAAAATCATTTGTCCCATACAGCATAAAACTTCTAAATCTGCCTCCAAAATTGAAATAGTGAAATCTATGATGGGGCACGAGTGATTATTATATCATGAACTTTGATTATGTTATAATTCAACATTATATTCTTATTAGCTTGGCATTGTGTAGAAATATATACTTTAAATTATTTGTTGTTATATGCTTGCATTGGCTCTTTGAATCTTATCTCATAGTACAGGAGACAAGCCAGGAAATAATAATTTGTTCGGGACAATAAAGTTTATCTTATCTTATCAGAACTATATAAGACAAAATGCAGCCATGACGGCCATTTTTTCAAAGGACCAAAGGATGACCCCTAACTTTTTACCTACCCTATAATTTGGGATTACATAGTACCTAGAAATGTTCAGTAGACTCTCCTGGATCAAACTGTGTAGTCAGACCTTTTATGCAGTAGGTGTGGAACAAACTCTTTTTCTGAGCCTCCTACTGGACTTAGCCTCTAGACTATTATGATCAAAGCATGATCTAACATGACGTCATCTCTATGACGTCATTCTTCATGTGACGTCATTCGATTCATTAACGTTCCGTGACGTTGTGTACAAAATTGACTGGGAATATTTAGAGAATAACCAACGAGGTACGAGTGATTACGGGAAATATGCCTTGGCAAGGCACTGAACATTATTTTAAGGAGGGCATATTCTAGACACAGTATTCAGAAGACGTACACTGAGGAGGAATAAAAAAAGTAGTATGCAATATTGCCGAATGTCCCGACGACGTGGAACGCTGCTAGCAATATATTGATCCCAACACCGACTGTCTGCTCCAGATGTTATTATATACTGAGGGAAACAAGTAAAGGAACACCACTTCATGGCAGTGTTCATTTATCTATTCCCAGATTTCCTCCCACAGCGCTATTCAAAGCTGGTGATGAAAACTGGAAAATATTTAATGAAAGGAACGCTAACATTTTCCTGTGTTCCTTTATTTGTTTCTCTCAGTATATATTTACCATAGAGCTCATATGTTGCTGTGAGTGGCTGTAAGCAACAAAATGACAAATATATCATGTTTATATATAATTTCTCATACAATGTTTAAAACATATCACAATGGCGCAAAACATTTAGCATATTGTTTCCATAATTATGTTCGGTTCACCATGTACAAACTAATTACACCATGTATATATAGTAAAATATATACAGTGTACTTCGTCAACAAATAATTCTTCTCTGTTATTACAATTTCTAGTAACTCATTTCTTTCGGAAGTTTCCATCTCTGAATGTTATTATTGAGCGATATTCATATAAACTCAATTTATATTCATTACTGTGTTAATGATCCAATACTCTCTAGTGTTATGGCAAACCGTAAATATGATATGTTCATTCTGCGTTGATGCTGCACAAATGTAAAGAGCAAAAACTGCCTTAAGGGAATAAATGAATACAGTGCGACATTACTGTAGCTCACCTTCACACATTGCACCCATTTGGGTCTTCGGCGTGACAAGTGAACGCTTTAGCCATTAGGCTACTCCACCGCTCCGAAATCAGAAATAAGCTATATAATCACGACTATCATTTTTCCATTAATATGACATTATGCAGTAGAATAATAAAGAGATAAATGGATAATAGGCACGGGATGCTGAAACGTGAACAGATGTGCCAACGCACCTGTACATATGGTGACATTAAACCTTGTCTCTTTAGACCCTACGTACATGATATACATCCGGTTTCTAGAATACAAATTGACTCCCGTATTGTATACCAAGTGCAAATGCAAAATATATTTTTGCAGCGCAAGCTGTTTAAAGAGTAGGTTAGTCGATAACTGTTATTCCTGTATACTATATATTATTGACAAGCGTATTGGACGTGTAGACGTCTTTACTGGGTCAATATGGACAGTTTTTAAAGCTTTAGTTGATGGTTTTTGTCCTCTCCATTTGACACAGAATCAAGAAACATCGAGAATATTATATTGAGTGAGTGATTGGGTGAGTGAGTGAGTGAGTCAGTCAGCGGGTGAGTTGGGTTTTTAATGCCGGTTTTAACAATATTCCAGTTACACGAGGTGTCAGTTTGAGGAGGAAAGAAGGAAGCGATGCAGTGTTTAGATGTGTCTGTTTATAGCTTTGAGGAAACCCACGGGTTTGGTGCTTTCGACCTTGAACATAATCCATGCGAACCCAGATTCGAACCCACGGATCATACGGAAGTGACTCTGCAGAGCTATTTGAAATAGGAAATATAAATAACACCCGACAAATTGTTCCACAAACAAGGAGGGGCGGTAGGGTGGTGGTTAAAGACCCGTGTATGATTCACCACATGGTTACAATGTATGAAGCCCAATTCTGGTGCCCCCGCCGTGATTTTGCTGGAATATTGCTAATGTTTAAGCGGCGTAAAACTAAACTCAGTCAACCCCACAATCACAGTGCATAACTACAACCTAATTCGGAAAGCTAGATCATTGGCGTTTTATTCACATGATCTATTAAGCTATTCTGGGTATGTACATACAAATCGGAGCTACTCCCATGCGCAATTGTGTGACAGAAGTTTACAATCCGCTGACAAAAATACGTACACCACCAGTTTATTTAAATCTATCTTCAAATTACGCTCATGTTTATTTCCACATGAGACGTAACCCTGACAAATGTATCCAGTTGGATCTCGTGTTCGTTACAGCGGAACAGCTCAATAACGGGAATGAATAAACATTTTAAAAAAGCTCCCCGTTTTAGGGCGCGGTATAGTGAAAGATATCTGACGTTCTTTTCGGCATGTCATGTGACGGACTATTTTGCTTACCTGGTCAGATCAGACCGAGGGACGAGGTCACGTGGGTAAAGACCCTTCCTTATTGACACTGTAGGTAATACGAGAACAGTTTCCGTCCTGATATTAGATGTCATTTATGCAAACTTCTATATAACAACATCGCTGATAATTTTATCAGCGCTCGCCACACACTTTGTGACACAACCTCTGCGAGCGTGTCAAACACAAACGATCATCACATGACATTGTAAGTATACTGAAACTATCTTTTCCGCCAGATACGAATGCCAGCTAAGTTTAACCAGACATATGACCAACAGACGTCATATTTCAACATATGTGTAATATAAATATGAATTTAAATATTGTTAAATGTAACTATTGTCCTGAAAACTGTTTTACAGCAGGATGATGACAAAAGTTGACAGGTAAAAAATGTTGCAATAAATATGTTTTCAATATTTGAATTAATGTTGGACAGTGGGGCAGTGTGTCTGTTGGTAAACAAACTGGACGGGGAAATTCAAACACTGTCAGTTCGTGTTCAGAGCCAGTTGAGCGTGACCTAAACTCTCTGTGTGGAGCTTGAGGAGTGTGATTTGACCTAGCTCGTGAACCCACTTGATCAACATTTACAAGCATATTTTTTGTCACTTATAGACATGTAAATAGATAATGGAGATCTCATTCAAGATAATACATACCTTGAATTCCTTGCAACCCACTTGTTCACTTTGTTGAGGGAAAAATATTAAAAGACAAACAAAATAGTTGCAAAATCTTCTTGTCTAGGAAGGCAATATGGCAGATTAGCAATCTGTCATACAGACCCTTAAGCAAATATATCCAAGAAAGCCCACGCAAATCTAGAATGTGTGGCAAGTCTAGATTTCCACTGCTTCTGAAAATGAAGAAAGTCTCAGGGCTCATTTTCATTATATATTTTTTTTTACTATGAACTTTTTTTTCTGTAAAATATCTTCATTTCAGAGACTAGTTGTTAGTCTGAGTGCTATGGACCTTACATAATTTGTGGCTAGAGGGGTAGCGGTGATGATGACTTTTATGGAGAAGCATGTACAATGTGAACAACCCCTCCTAAAATTTATGTACAAAGTAAGTCCCCCCCTGCATGGATTCCCCCCACCCCACCCTTAAGATTAAGCATAATTTAATTATATTTTCATGTACAAAATTGCTGACCCTCCGTAGTACATGTGTACAAAATTGATGACCCCCTACCTCCCCAGAACAAAATGGGTGACCCCCCTTAAAATCATTATCACCCCCTAGACATAAATTATGAATGGTCCTTAATTAAGTGCCCATTGTATGTTTTACTTTAAGTCAGGGACAGCAAGCAATAATAACACAGTTATAGAGGGACATAATATACAAATAATTACTCTTTTCGAGGTATTTATACAAAAAAAGACCCTGGGAACCCCCTGAGGTGGTCTGACTGGACATTTCCCTCAAAACCTGTGAATCAGGTGAGCTAAATGATAAACTGAATACCCTAACAGAAAGGTTCCACCTGATGCCTCATTTGAACATGATACACCTTTTACAAACAACTGATTGTTTGTGCACACATGTTACTGTTGCGTATCCATTTGCCTGGGTGACAAGTGCATTTGGAAACAGCTAGCAATTGTACATTGTCATTTGTTGATGAGCACATGGAAGGTACAACAGAACAAGATGTTTCCCCGAAGGGTGTCCCGGGTAAAGGTGAGGTGTATATGAAGATACTGATGCAACTTATGACTATAGGGTATATTTGAAAGAGTAAACAGCTAAGGGTGAAACAGTTAAAAAATCTATTTAAAATTAAAAATGAGTTGAATAATTATTGTAATGTTAGAACGTTCATAAAAGCTGCCCAATGTGAAATAGAATTTAACTGTTGATGTTAATTCAGCTTCAGTCTAAAAGGTATGGTATGATAGTGATATCCCTTGTGAAGGTGGGGTATATATGAAGGTACTGACATCCCTTGTAATTTAGGTGGGGTATATATGAAGAAACTGACATCCCTTGTGAACTTAAGGTATATATGAAGGTACAGATATCCCTTGTGAAGGTGGGGGTATATATGAAGGTACTGATATCCCTTGTGAAGGTGGGGTATATATGAAGGTACAGATATCCCTTGTGAAGGTGGGGTATGTATGAAGGTACTGACATCCCTTGTGAAGGTGGGGTATATATGAAGGTACTGACATCCCTTGTGAAGGTGGGGTATATATGAAGGTACTGACATCCCTCGTGAAGGTGGGGTATATATGAAGGTACTGACATCCCTTGTGAAGGTATATATGAAGGTATATATCCCTTGTGAAGGTACTGATGTACTGACATCCCTGTGAAGGTGGGGTATATATGGTGACTTGTGGTATATATGAAGGTACTGATATCCCTTGTGAAGGTGGGGTATATATGAATGGTACTGACATCCCTTGTGAATGTAGGGTATATATGAATGTTACTGATATCTGACTTGTGAAGGTGGAGTGTATATGAAGGTACTGATATTATGACCCTTGTGAAAGTGGAGTATACATGAAGAAACTGACATCCCTTGTGCACTTATGGTATATATTAAGGTACTGATATCCCTTGTGAAGGTGGGGTATATATGAAGGTACTGATATCCTTTATGAAGGCAGGGTATATATGAAGATACCGATATCACTTGTGAAGGCAGGGTATACGTGTAGAAACTCAGCGACATCCCTTGTGAACTTACTGTACATATGAAGATACCGATATCCTTGTGTAGGTAGGGTATATTTGTGTATAGACTGATATCCTTATGATTAGGTAGGGTATATGTGTTTAGACCGAGAGATATCCTTATAAAGGTAGGGCATATTGTGTGTAGACAGATATCCTTATGAAGGTAGGGTATCTGTGTATAGACAGATATCCTCATGAAGGTAGGGTATATGTGTATAGACTGATATCCTCATGAAGGTAGGGTATATGTGTATAGACTGATATCCTCATGAAGGTAGGGTATATGTGTATAGACAGATATCCTCATGAAGGTATGGGCATATGTGTATAGACTGATATCCTTGTGAAGGTAGGGTATATGTGTATAGACAGATATCCTCATGAAGGTAGGGTATATGTGTATAGACTGATATCCTTGTGAAGGTAGGGTATATGTGTATAGACAGATATCCTCATGAAGGTAGGGTATATGTGTATAGACTGATATCCTCATGAAGGTAGGGTATATGTGTATAGACTGATATCCTCATGAAGGTAGGGTATATGTGTATAGACTGATATCCTTATGAAGGTAGGGTATATGTGTATAGACATATCCTTGTGAAGGTAGGGTATATGTGTATAGACTGATATCCTTATGAAGATAGGGTATATGTGTATAGACATATCCTTGTGAAGGTAGGGTATATGTGTATAGACTGATATCATTATGAAGGTAGGGTATATGTGTATAGACATATCCTTGTGAAGGTAGGGTATATGTGTATAGACTGATATCATTATGAAGATAGGTGAGGTGAGGTGAAATGGGGTTTAACATCGCACTTAAGAATATTTCATGTGTGTATGTGTGGCTGCTTGTACTAGCCCAGACTTAAGCTATTTTTTCAGTGCTGGCTCACTGAGATACCATGCCACAGTTAAGCTTGTATACTCCACTCGGACATATTATACTGACTCCGAGACGACCTTATAAGTCCTCATTGTACCCATTAATGCCGAGAGCCAGGCAGGGACCAACAAGTACTATATTTTAACGTCTTTTGGTATGACATGGCCGGGGATCAAACCCAATACCTTCCACTCTTCGGGCGGTTGCTCTTACTACTACACTACGAGGCGGTATGAAGGTTATGAAGGTAGAGTATATGGGGTATATCCTTATGAGTGAGTGAGTGAGTTTAGTTTTACGTTGCACTCAGTAATATTCCAGCTATATGGCGGCAGTCTGTAAATAATCAAGTCTGGACCAGACAATCCAGTGATCAACAGCATGAGCATTGATCTGCACAATGAGTACTGATGACATGTGTCAACCAAGCCAGTGAGCCTGACCACCCGATCCCGTTAGTCGCCTCTTACGACAAGCATGGGTTACTGACGGTTCATTCTAACCCGGACCTTCATGGGTTATATCCTTATGAAGTTAGGTTATACATGTTTTACCGATATCATTGTGACGGTAGGGTATGTGTGAAGGTACTGATAAGAGGCAATTTATTAAAGATGCACCTGAAAGAACTGTTATGATTTTATTTTAGCAGAAGACCCGCCCGGAGACAACATGTCGAGAATGTCTAAAATAGGCTGCTTTATAAGCAAACTCTCCAGAAAGAAAAGAGTCAACCTCAGTGAAGAAACCTCATTGGCTAGAGTCCTTACGACGTGTGATCTGATTGGTCTAGGTAAGTAAACCAGATTTACTGTTTGTCATACATTTCCCTAATGTATCACTAAAATTGTTAAATTAAAGAGAGTAGTCCTGTTTATCATTTAAATTCACTCCCTCCTTTATTTGCTTAAACAATAGTGTGTAGGGCTGTCATTATATAGTATATGGTGCTAAGGTCTTAGAGTGAGTGAGTTCGGTTTTATGCCACTTTAAGCAATATTCCAGCAATATCCACGCGGGGACACCAGAAATGGGCTTCACATATTGTACCCATGTGGGGAATCGAACCCAGGTTTTCAGCATGACGATTCAAAGCTTTAACCACTAGGCTACCCACCAGCCCAACAGATGTTAGAATTATTGAGTAGTCCTATTTACTCTTTTAATTCACTCTCTCCTTCATTGGCCTAACATGTTAGTGTGTAAGGCTGCCAGTACATGGAATATGGCCTCAGAAGTACTGGTTTCACTTGTATATCGATCAATATTTAGTTAATGATTATCAATATCTCTATAATCTATATCGATATCCAGCCCTGGTATAAATGCAAACAGCAGACTGCTATTGAGACATTATGGCATGGTCTTAATGGCGAGAGGGACGGTAGGGTAGCCAAGTGGTAAAATGGGTTGGCTCATCAACGAAGACCCAGTGTAGCAGGCCATTTCTTTCCCGGTCTAAACTTTCCCTGGGGAGAATCTGGCCTAGGCCAAACTTTCCCCGTGGAGGTTTTGTCCTAGGATATTCTGACCCCAGAGAAAGTTTGGGCTAGGCTAAAGTTCCCCCCCCTAGGCCAAAGTTTCCCCCTGTTTAAACTAGGATATTTTGTTCTGTTTTCTATGAAAAGTGGGGAGATTCTGGCCAAGCTAGGCCACTTCTTCCCCACCCTTGCTCATATATCAAAGGGGCGGTGGGGTAGCCTAGTGGTTAAAGCGTTGGCTCGTCACGCCTACGGTCCGGGTTAATTCCCCACATGGGCACAATGTGTTAAGCCCATTTCAAAATGGTGTCCCCGCCAGGGATATTGCTGGAATATTGCTAAAGCTGCGTCTAAAACTAAACTCAGTCAGTCAGTCATATATCAAAAGGGGGGAGACTCTGGCCAAGCTAGGCCACTTCTTCCCCACCCTTGCTCATATATCATAAGGGGGGAGATTCTGGCCTAGGTAGGCCACTTCTTCCCCACCCTTGCTCATATATCAAAGGGGCAGTGGGGTAGCCTAGTGGTTAAAGCGTTGGCTCGTCACGCCGACGATCCGGGTTCAATTCCCCACATGGGCACAATGTGTTAAGCCCATTTCTGGTGTTCCCCGCCGTGATATTGCTGGAATATTGCTAAAAGCGGCGTAAAACTAAACTCAGTCAGTCAGTCATATATCAAAAGGGGGGAGACTGGCCAAGCTAGGCCACTTCTTTCCCACCCTTGCTCATATATCAAAGGGGGGAGATTCTGGCCTAGCTAGGCCACTTCTTCCCCACCCTTGCTCATATATCAAAAGGGGGGAGATTCTGGCCAAGCATAGGCCACTTCCGCGCCCGACCCTTACTCATATATCAAAAGGGGGGAGATTCTGGCCAAGCTAGGCCACTTCTTCCCCACCCTTGCTCATATATCAAAAGGGGGGAGATTCTGGCCAAGCTAGGCCACTTCTTCCCCACCCTTGCTCATATATCAAAAGGGGGGAGATTCTGGCCTAGCTAGGATACTTCTTCCCCACCCTTGCTCATATATCAAAAGGGGGGAGATTCTTGCCAAGCTAGGCCACTTCTTCCCCACCCTTGCTCATATATCAAAAGGGGGGAGATTATGGCCTAGCTAGGACGGTAGGGTAGCCAAGTGGTTAAAGTGTTGGCGGCTCATCAACGAAGACCCAGTGTAGCAGGCCATTTCTTTCCTGGTCTAAACTATCCCCAGAGAGAATCTGGCCTAGGCCAAGATTCTGGCCCACCCTTGCTCTTATAAACCAACAGTAGTTTTGACTTATATTTTGGTGCACATTTTGCCAAATACTATAGTCCATTTTTGCCTCTGACTTGAGTGTAGTGATTTGAATGCATACATCTTTGAACGGCATATATCTCTAAATCCATCCTGCTCCTGCCGCCATTCCTATGAAGACACATTGCATTAGTTCTTCATCTGTCCAAATCATGTCACAATAAGATGTAAACATTCAATCGCACATTTGACGGGTAAGTAAGATGTAATATACACAGGCTGCCTTCTCTCTTATCATGCTGTTTATAATCTAATATTTGTAAATTGTTAATGGAACTTGACATCAACATGAATATCTTATCAATGTGTTCACATGAATAGCTATGTCTTGTTTTCGTTTCTGACTTTTGTCAAGATGAACATAAACATGAAAACAAGGTTGGGGAAGAAATAGCCTTGCTTGGCCAGAATCTCCCCCTTTTGATATGAGAACAAGGGTTTAAAAGAGGTAGCCTTTAAAGTTGATTCAAGGGTTGGGAAAGATTGAGCCAAGTGGGAAAAGTTTGTCCTAGGCCAAAGTTTCCCCAAGAAAGGTTTTGCCAGGGGAAAAGTTTGGCCTGTTACACTGGGTTTGTTTCCCCACGTGGGTACAATATGTGAAGCCTATTTCTGGTGTCCTCTGCTATGATATTGCTTGAATATTGCTAAAAGCAGTGTAAAACCATACTCACTCACTCACTTAATGGCGAGAAGACAAAGTCAGTTCTGAATGGTCGTGTTGAAATAAGTAACAATTGTGAACTTGATACAGTCAGTATTGGACAAATATCATTTCCCATGTGCACCAGTGTAAGGGACAGTTCATAATTCATGGCTAGTGAGGTGTTGATCATCATAAGAGGGGTCACCCATTTTGTTCTGGGTAGGTAGTGGGGGTCATCAATTTTGTACACATGTACAATACAAGGTGGGCTCAACAATTTTGTACACAAACATTTGAAAAATTATAAATTATCAGAAGGGGGTTGGGGGTCATTGATTTTGTACATGACATGCAGAGAGGGTCTCGTACATTGTACATACATTTTAGGGGGGGATCATTCACATTGAACATACCTCTCCATAAAATCATCATATCACACACGCAGCACGCACACGCACGCACACACGCACGCACGCACACTGTTTTGTTTGCACAGTATTATGATAGTGTCCTGTTACTGCCCACATGAGTTTTGTGGTGGGGTGTACGATTACAGTTGATTATTGATCGATTACTGAGCTCAAACTATCAATCTGCATAATACAAGCAATAACCAGCACTAATCATTACTAAATGATGGGGTAGCCTTGTGGTTAAAGCGTTGGCTTGTCATGCCGAAGGCCCGGGTTCAATTCCCTACATGGGTACAATGTGTGAAGCCCATTTCTGGGGTCCCCCGCCATGTTATTGCTGGAATATTTCTAAAAGTGGCATAAAACTATACTCACTGACTGACTCATTACTAAATGAGCACTGCAGCTGTTACTTTGGTCCATCCGGCTGACTAGGCCAGATGGAGAGCCATTGACATGCTGCTCTGGATGTCATTAGGCCCCCCAAAAATATGTCTGTTTCCTATTATATGCTGTTTAAAAAATAGGGTAGGTGGGTCGGTTTTATCTGTTTTGTTTACTTTTTTATATATTTTTTTAGTAGCACCAGGTGGGCACCTGAGAAGGTCTTCAAGGATACCATATCATGTAGTGACAATGCCTTGTGATGAAACATTGAAAGATTTCTATATCAAATCATTATTCATGTTATTTATATGCAGGTTTTGTCAGTGAGAGCCCATTATGCCAATTCAATGCAATCCATTTTAGCCCTACATACACTGAAAAATTAAAATGATGAGTTGAAATGCACTCCAGTCATGATTTTGACTTGGTTAAAAAAAAGATTTAGGGTCGGATGGGTTAGGATAGGGTCGGTCGGGTTACCGGAAACAGACATTATTTTTTTTTGGCCTTACGTAAAATTTGGAAAACTACATGATATATACTAACTTGCATTTAAAACACATTGCTAACTACAGCTCTTAATAGGTGAATGTGTTTTTGAGCTCAAGCCCATCTGAAAAGAGATATCAAACTGTACAAAAATTATTCTTGTGCTTGGATATATTACCTTCATATACCAGAGTATGAAATAAGGCCCGTCCGACCGCCCGAGACGGGCTAGATTTCTGACGGACGGTCTAAATTTACAGGTAGCCAACCCGATGGTCTGGTAAAATTTTAGATAACATGTTCCATATTGGTTAAACCAATTTTGGGCTGGTAACATTTTGAAGTTACCAGCCCTGATGTCTGTCTGTGATTTTGGCTTATTTCATACACTGTATATATACACAACAACGAGGGGCGGGGGATATGGTATTAGGCACCGTCCGGCCGTACGCACGAATTGGGATATCTTAAGAACCGTCGACTAGATTCTTTTCATATTTGCTACCTAGGTTCATCACAGTATAAGAAAGGTCCCAGTCAGGTTTGGTGACCTTGACCTTCATTTCAAGGTCACAAGGGGACTTTAACATTTTACTCTTGTCAGCGAGATATCTCAAGAACCGTTCTCTAGATTTTCTTCATATTCAACACCAAGCTTTATCTAGGAAAGGTGCAGGGCCCAGTTGATTTTGGTGACCTTCACATAATTTTCAAGGTCATGGCAACACTTTGAAGATTTCAGCATATTAACCTGCATGTTATGCTTGTCAACGAGATACCTCAAGAACCATTCACTGGACTTTCTTCACGTTTGACACCAAGCTTCATCTAGGAAAAGTGCAAGGCCCAGTCGATTTTGGTGACCTTCACTTAATTTTCAAGGTCACGGCGACACTTTGAAGATTTCAGCATGTTAAATTGCATGTTAAGATAGTCAGCAAGATATCGCAAAAAACATTCCCTGGATTTTTTTCATATTTGACACCAAGCTTCATCTAATGAAGGCACAGGGCCCAGTCAATTTTGGTGACCTTCACATAATTTTCAAGGTCACTGCGACACTTTGAAGATTTCAGCATGTTAACCTGAATTCACTGGATTTACTTCATAGACTTTCAAGACTTCCCTTGAATATTTGTCAATAAGCAATTTCTTTAGTACCATTTTCGCATATTTCATACACTATGACATTCATGTCAAGGTCAAAGTCAGTCTTGAAATTATGTGTGTGTTGGAGGTGAGGTGAGGTGAAATTGGGTTTAACGTCGTGCTTGAGAATATTTCGCTCATATGACGACGTGCATGCATGTGTATGTGTATGTGCGGCTGCTTGTACTAGGCCAGACTGAAGCTGGTTTTATAGTGCTAGCCCACTGAGATACCATGCCGCAGTGAAGCATGAATACCCCACTCAGACACATTATACTGACTCCAAGCCGACCAGTCCTTGTTGTACCCATTAATGCCGAGCGCCAGGCAGGGACCAACAAGTACCATATTTTAACGTCTTTTGGTATGACGCGTCCGGGGATCGAACCCTCGACCTTCCGCTCTCCGGGCGGACGTGTGTGTGTTGGAACAACTAAAGAGCAAGATATCAAGAGAGGTTGACTGGTCATGTTTTTTTGTACATTTAACTTCATGTTAAACTTTCATTACTTTTTAAGTTTGATTTGATAATTTGCAGTCGGGGATTATGTCACCTTAGTGACAATGCTTATTTTATTTTGGCATCCATTAATACAAAAATTCTAATATCCATTTTCAAAGTGTGTTTTTATCTGTTATGATATGTAATAACCCTTTTGTATAAATTTTATCCTGTTTAAATTTTGTGTCCAAAAACATTTTGACTTGTCAATGTGACAACAGAAAGTTCCAACAGAAAGTTCTGTACTGCACACAGTCGAGAACAAATGGTGCTCATCTTCTTTAGAAAACAGCAAAATGTGAAATCTCACTCACTCACTCACTGACTGACTCACACTCTTTCTCTCTCTCACTCTTTCACTCACTCACTCACTCAACTCGTGAAGGTCCGGGTTAGAATGAACCTTCAGTGACCCATGCTTGTCGTAAGAGGCGACTATCGGGACCGGGTGGTCAGGTTCGCTGGCTTGGTTGACACTTGTCATTGATTCCCAATTGCATAGATAGATGCTCATGCTGTTGATCACAGGATTGTCTGGTCCACACTCAATAATTTACAGACTGCCGCCGTATAGCTGGAATATTGCTGAATGCGGTATAACTCACTCCCTCACTCACTGAATGCACTCACTCACCACTCGAAACCTCACTCACTCACTCACTCACTCACTCACTCACTCACTCACTCACTCACTCACTCACTCACTGTTTACAGGTATTGGGAGTACTCTTGGAGCAGGTATCTACGTTGTGGCTGGGCAGGTAGCCCGTCAGACTGCAGGGCCTTCTGTTGTCCTGTCATTTCTCATAGCAGCTGTTGCATCAGTGTTTGCAGGTGAGTGCTTCAAATTCACAAACCATGGATGAACAGGAAGCTTGCACAAAGATACCATGTCAGATAGATAGATATTAGTCATGTAGCAATTTGAAATTATCATTTTGTTAATGTGAAATCATTTACGGTTGTGGAGACAAAACCTTGTTTGACTAATTTCATGGCTGATAGAACTATAATTATGAACATTTTACACTGTATCGCGTAACAGCAATAAAGTGAATTTATTAATGTATTTTGCGCCCCAAATTAAATTTGGTTAGACATGAGGCATTATCTTACCTTCATGTAAAATACTTTAATTTCATTGGTCAGGAGGTTGACAACTGGAAAAAGTATTAACTGCTAGCACGGTAACCGCCAAGCTCTCCACCGAAAAGCTGTATCACTTACAATTGTATGACGTCATAATATTACGCATGCAGTGCAGGGAGTTCGAAAACTGTTCGATTAGCTGTATTTGATTTCACTATTTACATATTTATTTTACCGACTTTGACTGCTTCATTTAAACTGTTTTATATATTGAATCATTTGCACACTCAACTTAAACATAATTGAAAATCATTTTTTAGCAGTTTTAATCTTGTCAGAATGTTTCACTGATTTTAGAAATCCAGTCGAGAGGCAGACGCCATTTTGTTTATATGTCATATAGTCGGTACATTCGTCACCACTCGCCCCTTTACATTACCTCCAAGAAGACACATCCCTGTCTTGATGCTTGTCATGTGCGAAAACACGACAAACCAATCAGAAGGAGGGTAATGATTGCGGTGCTTTGATAAACATAATCCCCAGTACTTAATCAGTTATTGCATTATGTGTTTGTTTAAAAAATCCTGAAAACCATATATCGTCATATTGAAAGCACAAAGAACGTAGCTAACAGAACTGTGTTGCCTCTTGTAGATTTTGGTGAGGATAGTGCCATGGACGGTGGGGATTCAAATACATGTTGTGCGTTTGTTGACATAATGGCTCTCATGGGCCCGATTGAGTGTATTTCTGATGATCTTGTGGGCTTGTTTTGGATATTGTATGTGCGCTTCCAACATTTTTGGGAATTATAAATAGCAACGTGTTTTAAAACAATAATATTATATCTGTGTGTAACTAATCAACTTTAATCTTAAACAGTGGGCTTATATTTCACATCTCTGGGGATATTTTAGTCTGACTTTGCTTTGGTCATTCACATTTTTTTCAGTGATATCATTTAAAATTCCACCAGGGGTATGACAGCAAGGGTTACACGAATGTTCAGTTTGAGAAATATTTTTAGGTCATTTTGTCTGCTTTGTCTGCATTTAATGTAGATGAAGAAAAAAGAATATTTTATTTGCATATTCAATAAATCAATTCCCAGTTGTGATTATTAAACCCTATTTAAAAATATAATTTGAAATATAAGGTGGATAGCTGGTAATACTTACATTAGAATATGTCTTTAACAAATACGTTTTTCTCCTTTTTGTAGTTGTATCAAAGAGGTTCAATTCTGTTAAATAAATAAGTATAAAAAAAATAAGTATAAACAAAAACAGCAATACAATGTACAAGTGCTACAGTGATATTAAGAAACATTGGAATCAAACAAGGTTTTAGTTATCATTCTTATTTAAAGCAGTTCTAAAGTTCATGTGCCAATGTGAAATCCTTCGATCTTCAAAATAAAATAAAATGATATTTTGTACATTCAACATGGCGGTAAGATAAAAAACGTTGTAAACTTCTTCCTCGGGTAATATGGTCTGATGTACGCCTAACAAACTGACATTTTAACTCCATTGAAGCATTTTTTGACCAAATATGTCCACCAAACAAAACATTAGGTGTGTGGATAATCAAAATTCAATTTCAGTGTCCTGGGGATTAGTATTATAGTTCAATTGAATATTTTTAATTGTTTATTTTCATCTATAAAGTAGTCGTGACAGAGTTGTCTCCTTTTTGTTTTGTTTACATCCGGCATTGCTTGATTTGCCATCATGGATCACACTGTTTTCCCGTCCTGTCCGTAATAAATAGATCACAAAACTCGTGGATTTTGAATATGGAAAATAACAGTTTTATATTGGGACTTTTGTCTGTAGGGATATGCTATGCGGAGTTTGCTGCGCGGGTGCCGAAGGCAGGATCAGCCTATGTGTACAGCTATGTCACTGTCGGGGAGCTGATTGCCTTTGTGATTGGCTGGAATCTGATCCTGGAATATGTCATAGGTGAGAGTTAGTGAGTGAGTTTTTCAGTATCCCATGCTTGTTTTAAGAGGTTAGTAGCGAAATCGGGTGGTCAGGCTCGCTGACTTGGTTGACACATGTCATCGTATCCCAGTTGCATAGATAGATGCTCATGCTGTTGATCACCGGAGTGTCTGGTCCAGATTTGATTATTTACAGACCGCTGCCATATAGCTGGAATATTGCTAACAACAAACAAAACAAAGAAACTGCTTTTTGCATCATCAGGATGTGACCAGGCTTTGGTTATGACCATGTTGGACTTGAACCTGCACCCTCAGTGTGTTTAGCCACCATGGAATACCAATAATAGAATGTAGACAAATAAATACTGAAGTAAACAAGTTAATTCTTTTATTATGCTAAAGGATATATTGCATATCTTACTAAAACTTAAGTTTTTTATCTAGTTTATTGAGTGTTTCTTTCAATATTGTTTAAATATATTTTAGGGACATTGTGTGCGAAATGATCAGAAGATCGCACAAACACGTTGTTATAGCAGCCACTATCAGAATATGATGCCATAAATGGACCTACATTGCCAGAGAATGGATACACTTTATACATGTTCTCATGGTGGACTAGTCAATAATATTTGCACATTATACATGTCCTCTTAATGTTTTCTGAACTCCAGGCACAGCTAGTGTGGCCCGAGCGTGGAGCTCCTATTTCGACTCTCTCATCGACAACAAGATACAGGACTTCTTCAAGGAAAACATGCCGATGGATGTCACAGGGTTGTCACAATACCCTGATTTCTTTGCTTTCAGCATTACATTAGTTCTGACAGGTAAGACACACACAGACATTGTTAGTGATCATAGCACCACAGCTGTTCAGAGTTACAGGATTTGCTGTCTTGAATACTTTCAGATGGTTCAAAAGGTACTGGTTTGACTGGAGATTTAACCAGTGAGCTTTGTGGATATATGAACCAGGATCTTGATCCAAAAAGCATAAATAACGTTGCGACCTGTCGTAACTCTATAGTTTATCAAAGGCTTACGAATGTCGTAGCGCTACAAGTATTTTGTGAGGTGAGGTGAAATTGGGTTTAACGTCGTGCTTGAGAATATTTCGCTTATATGACGACGTGCATGCGTGTGTATGTGTATGTGCGGCTGCATGTACTAGCCCAGACTTAAGCTGGTTTTATAGTGCCAGCTCACTGAGATACCATGCCGCAGTGAAGCATGAATACCCCACTCAGACACATTATACTGACTGCGAGCTGACCAGTCCTTGTTGTACCCATTAATGCCGAGCGCCAGGCAGGGACCAACAAGTACCATATTTAAACGTCTTTTGGTATGACGCGGTCGGGGATCGAACCCGCGACCTTCCGCTCTCTGGGCGGATGCTCTAACCACTACACCACGGAGGCGGTCCACAAGTGTTTTGTAGATCGGGACCCGGAACTTCTTTTGCATTCAGTATCATCAGTTGTTTAAATGGCTTTTTGACGGATTCTGTGGATACTGGTCTTTGACATATTTCCTCCAGTGAAGGTGATGTTTTGGTGCAGATACAAACACTATTATCAAACAAGTGATGTGACTTACTTCATAATGGTGTTTGTGTTAGGGCTGGGATGGGTCAAAATATCAGACTTTGGTACCCGGAGGTATCATTACCCGGCCCGACCTTGGGTACCTGTTACAGCTTTGAGATTCTTGAGAGGCATTTAGAAGTTGTTGAATATATAAGACGAGTATATGGATGACAACTTCTTCTTTATTGTACACAGCTTACAGCTTTGTTTAGAGCTAATTCCCTTACTGACCTGACAATCGTGGCGACTGAAAGTAAACAGAGCGGTGTTTGGTCATATCATATTGTGACTTCACAACTCAGGAAACCCATGTATTGTTATATAACACTCTACTGTTTAAAAAATATCACAGAATATCTATTGACTAACTTGGTTCATTAATGGATGAATTAAAATTGTTCCAAGTTTTGCTTAAGTCTGATGTTTTGACAAGTCATTGTCAGCATGGCCTGGATGGTTTATTCAGGACCCGGTCGTGAAAATTATTTACCCAAGGGGGTACTCCGGTAACCTGTACAAATATTAGTTGGTATCTTCAGGGAAATGTTGCTACATTGAAATAAAGACATTCTACATGCAAAGAATAATAATAATAATATCCCTTGTTTTATTCAATACCATATTTGGTATAAGCAAGGGTATGTACTAGTGTTGGGAATTGGTGTAAATCTCATAATTGATGATTGGTTCATTACAACCGATCAATCATCGAAAATAATTGGTTAGCGTCATTTATCAAATTTTCCTGGTTATGTTTGTTAATGCACAAAAAATAAAGAAAAAACCTTTTGAAATTTATATTGTTATTGCAAACAAGTGTTCCAAAATTGTTTGTGTTCGATTATGAGAAAACATGATCGATTGCTTGGTCGTTTTGTCATTGCGACCAATCTTCGATTATTTCAATTAATCGGACCACCACTAGTATGTACAGTGTGTACTCTATAAATTCAAGAATTTGCAGTAGAGTTTGATTATGTAGTGTGAATGTAGGAGGTCAGGTTGAGTTAATCTCTATGTCGAAGGGTGTCTGTTGTTCATGTAGGATGATGAAATTGTTTCAGTTCTACTTGCTGTTGGTGTGAAGGAGTCGACAATGTTCAACAACATCTTCACCGTTGTCAACCTGCTGGTTGTCACCTATGTCATTGTGTGTGGACTGTTCAAGGCTGACGCTCACAACTGGTCCATCCCCAAATCAGAGGTAACACTTTCTGACTCCTACCTGTCTCTTGACTTTACCACATGTGTCTCACCTGTCCCACCTGTGTTTGACATGTATCTGAATCAGAGGTAACACTCTGCTACTCCTACCTGTCTCTCACCTGTCCCACCTGTATCTCACAGGTGTATCTGAATCAGAGGTAACACTCTGCTACTCCTACCTGTCTCTCACCTGTACAACCTGTATCTCAGGTGTATCTGAATCAGACTCTCACCTGTACAACCTGTATCTCAGGTGTATCTGAATCAGAGATAACACTCTGCTACTCCTACCTGTACAACCTGTATCTCAGGTGTATCTGAATCAACCTGCTACTCCTACCTCTCTCACCTGTGCAACCTGTATCTCAGGTGTATCTGAATCAGAGGTAACACTCTGCTACTAGTACCTGTCTCTCACCTGTCCCACCTGTGCATCTCATGTATCTGAATCAGAGGTAACACTCTGCTACTCCTACCTGTCTCTCACCTGTACAACTTGTATTTCCCCTTTTTCTGAATCAGTGGTAACGCTCTGCTACTAGTACGTGTCTCTCACCTGTGCAACCTGTATCTCAGGTGTATCTGAATCAGAGGTAACACTCTGCTACTCCTACCTGTCTCTCACCTGTACAACCTGTATCTCAGGTGTATCTGAATCAGAGGTAACACTCTGCTACTCCTACCTGTCTCTCACCTGTGCAACCTGTATCTCAGGTGTATCTGAATCAGAGGTAACACTCTGCTACTCCTACCTGTCTCTCACCTGTACAACCTGTATCTCAGGTGTATCTGAATCAGAGGTAACACTCTGCTACTCCTACCTGTCTCTCACCTGTACAACCTGTATCTCAGGTGTATCTGAATCAGAGGTAACACTCTGTACTCCTACCTGAACCTGTATCTCAGGTGTATCTGAATCAGAGGTAACACTCTGCTACTCCTACCTGTCTCTCACCTGTACAACCTGTATCTCAGGTGTATCTGAATCAGAGGTAACACTCTGCTACTCCTACCTGTCTCTCACCTGTGCAACCTGTATCTCAGGTGTATCTGAATCAGAGGTAACACTCTGCTACTCCTACCTGTCTCTCACCTGTACCACCTGTATCTGAATCAGAGGTAACACTGCTACTCATACCTGTTTCTCACCTGAATCTCAATCAGATGTAACACTTTCAACCTCCTATCTCTCTCTCACCTGTACCAAACCTGTATCTTACCTGTGTCTCACCTGTACCTGAATCAGAGATAACACTGTACTATTCAAAACTATCTCTTACCTGTATTCAATCAGAGGTACCACTTTTCATCCCCTACCTATCTGTTACCCATATCACACATGTACCTAATCAAAATACCATGAAAAGCCTTGAGTTTGTACAAAATAGTGAATACTTGTACATTTGTTTCATGCATTGGTTGTGGAGATAGTCATTCTCGTCAGCTGTGTGTTCTCATGATACCAAAGTGACTGGTTATGGAGGCCATACTTGATACTTAAATGTTATTTTCCATGACTCTTAAGTCACACTTCCAAATGGCGCAGTGTAATGATGTCTTACTGACATTATTACAAAAACACATCTGGTTTTCAATACGGATGAGTTGTGTGTTCACTTTACAGACTCTCATTGTTTTCTCTGCATGTTTTCATAAGCAAACCTTTTGTTCACCACTGTATCACAGTTTTATGTGATTTGCGTTTCTTTTGGTACTAAGTATATTTCATATGAGGTGGTGAGCTGAAATTGGGTTTAACGTCGTGCTTGAGAATATTTGCTCATATGACGACGTGCATGCGTGTGTATGTGCATGTGCGGCTGCATGTACTAGCCCAGACTGAAGCTGGTTTTATAGTGCTAGCCCACTGAGATACCATGCCGCAGTGAAGCATGAATACCCCACTCAGACACATTATACTGACTCTGAGCCGACCAGTCCTTGTTGTACCCATTAATGCCGAGCGCCAGGCAGGGACCAACAAGTACCATATTTTAACGTCTTTTGGTATGACGCGGTCGGGATTGAACCCGCGACCTTCCACTCTCCGGGCGGACGCTCTAACCACTACACCACGGAGGCGGTCATATTTCATATGAGCAATGCATGAACATGATGAACACAACTAGAGTAAGTGAGTTAGGTTTTATGCCACTTTTAGGAATATTCCTGTAAAATCACATGGGGCTTCAGACACTGCAAACGTGAGGAATCGAACCCAGTTTTTGGGCATGACCAGCAAACGCTTTAACCGCTAGGCTACCTTATCACCCTGAACACAAATTGAAGAGCACCTGAGTCCTCTAATCCTCCTTCACCTTATCCATCCCACAGCCGCTGTTAGCGATGTGAGCTGGCCGAGTGGATAGTGTGTTTGTCATGTTGAAGGTAATGGTTTGAACCCCACATGAGTATAATGTGAAATTCATTTCTGGTGTCACTTCTAATAATATCGCTAGAATATTGCCAGACGTAGCCTAATAAAATTCTCGCAAACTTTTGCAGGTTCCCAGCGATGCAGGATCTGGAGGGTTTATGCCCTTTGGGTTTTCGGGGATGATGTCCGGGGCCGCCACCTGCTTCTACGCCTTTGTCGGCTTTGACTGCATTGCCACTACAGGTAGGATGTTGTCTTTTCATATGTAAATACTTCATTATCATTTGGTATCCTTGTTTGTGACTGCTGCCTGCAGGGTGAGTGAGTGAGTTGGGTTTTACACTGCTTTTAGCAATATTCTGGTGTTCCGCAATTGTGAGAATATTGTATCACTTTTGTATCACATTGAAACGTAAAATAATTAATGATTTCTTAAGGTAACATTTGCATACCTGTAACAAATACAAGTATATTACCGATTGTTCAAGTACCTGTAACAAGTACAAGTATATTACCGATTGTTCAAGTACCTGTAACGAGTACAAGTATATTACCGATTGTTCAAGTACCTGTAATGAGTACAAGTATATTACCGATTGTTCAAGTACCTGTAACGAGTACAAGTATATTACCGATTGTTCAAGTACCTGTAACGAGTACAAGTATATTACTGATTGTTCAAGTACCTGTAACGAGTACAAATGCACTACCTACTGCTTGTGTGCCTGTACAGGTGAAGAGGCCAAGAATCCCCAGCGTGCGATCCCCATAAGCATCGTGGTATCCCTCATTGGCATCACCGTTGCATACTGCGGCCTTTCCACGGTCCTCACCCTTCTCTGCCCCTACTACCTTCTTGACCCCAATGCTCCTCTCCCCATCGTGTTCGACCGGCTTGGCTGGGGGGTGGCCAAGTACGTAATTGCCGTGGGGGCCATCTGTGGACTCTCTACAAGGTATGTAAAGTAGTGGTGCTCCGATTAATTGAAATAGTCGAAGATTGGTCGCAGTGACCAAACGACCAAGCAATCGATCACATTTTCTCATAATCAAACAAACGATTTTGGAACTACTGTTTTAGTCTTTGAAATACTTGACAATGGAACATATCTTAGAAGTTGTCAGGGCCTGGAAACATGTTTATTTCTTAGAAAACTCACTTCACTAACTAAAAAGTCATCACTGGATATTTCTCTAAGACTCCCGGAAGTTTATGTTCATGATATATTAGTCATCACTTTAAAGTAGCAAGTTGCATCATGTTATACATATCTACAATAACAACCTAGGTAGGAAAATCTGAAAAATGACACTAACCAATTTTTTTCGATGATTGTTCGTTGGTAATGAAGCAATCATCAATTGTGAGATTTCCACCAATTCCCAACACTAATGTCAAGATAGCTTAATATTGGTTTATCAGTGTTGGAGCAGCTTCAAGGTTGGGTTGGGTTAAAAGTATCTAGGTGATGTGGGTCTGAAACAATAGTTGGAGGTGAGGATTTGTTGTGGATGGCGAGGCAGTCGGACTGTGGGAATTTGGGAAAGTTGGTTTGTTGGTTTAATGGTGGGGGATTGAATTGGTGTATATGTGGGTTGTTGGTCTTTGGGAAAATGGATGGGTTTGGTTTGGAGGTGAGGATTTGCTATATTGGATGGCTGGGTAGACAACCTATTTGAAAGTGGATTTGTTTGATGGTGGGGGTTGGATTGGTGGATAAGGGGATCATTGGTCTTTAGGAAAGTGAGTGTGTTTGCTTTGGAGGTTATGGTCTGGTATGGTGGATTGTAGGGTATTTGTCTTTGTGAATGTGAGTGTTTTAGTTTGTTGGTGTGTTTTGTTTTAATGAATGAAAATGGGATTGAATTTAATCAAATAAAATGTGTTTTCTGACATCATACATTCTCGGATGGCAGTGTTTACCCAAGCAATTACGCGGTGTGTTGCATCACAGCAAACATTGTTAGTACTCGGCTGATGGTGTGTCTTTATGATAAAGTTATTACGATGTTTCGTTGTTCATCTGTTATTATTGAAAAACCCCTGCATGTTTTAAGCATCTGAAAAACCATGGATATGCACGATAAACACTGTTAATTGTCAAACTGCTTGTCTTCCTAGTCTTGCGAACATAATTGCGACTGTATTTATCAATTGATTTGGCATTTTTAAGTTACATATTTATATCATTATCCATCGAAAATAACAGCAGGGTGTATAATTTGTAATAGTTTCTTTTGTTGTTTTCTGGTGGCCAAATTTGTAAATTTAAAATATGCGTTATTATATATTACCTTAACTAATTATGCAATGCTCAGATTGTAAAATATGTTCAAACCCTTTATGTTTATGATGGATTACCCGCAACGTATTTACGGGTTTAATCCTGAATTTGGCTGGCTGTATCACAAGCGTTAGCCTAACAAACTCGATAGTGTTTGCTGCTATATGAGCAATACTAAGTTTATATCGAGCTATTATGGATGACTGTATTTTCTTCTTAGATGTCTCTTTGAAAGAGGGATGCTGACTGAAAATTCATTTATCACATATTAGTCAAAATTTGTATTTATCAATTGATTTGGAATTTTTAAGTTACATATTTGTATCATTATCCATCGAAAATAACCAGCAGGGTGTATAAATTGTAATAGCTACTTTTATTTATTTTCTTTTTGTTGTTTTTCTGGCTCTGGTCAACCAAATATGTAAATTTAAAATTTATACATTAGCATGTATCAGTAGATTACTGAGGGGTGGTGGGGTAGCCTAGTGGTTAAAGCGGTCGCTCGTCACGCCGAGAACACAGGTTCGATTCCCAACATGGGTACAATGTGTGAAACCCGGTGTCCCCCGTCGAGATATTACTGGACTGTTGCTAAAAGTGGCGTTAAACTAAACTCACTAACTAACTGTAGGTTACTGGTACCAATCAAGACATATTGATGGGGTTTGTTGGTCAGTATTATTATGACAAAGTACAATTCTAATTCAGCTTAGTATGTAACACGAGTTCTGATTGGTCAATGCTATAAATTTCCGACCGTATAATCAGCATATACGGTCGCAATTTGAAAACCGATTCACCGAAACCTTTGAATGTATCCCTACACTATTGGGGTACCGCTGTTTCGCAGGACATTGTCATTTGCAGAAGCCATTTGTCATTTGCAGAAGCCATTGGTCAATTAACTCCCCTATCCAGCTAAAATGGGTGGAATTTGTATCACAGTATCATAAATTTAATTTTAAGTTCAAACAACTTACTCGTAACGGGCTGTTGACCCAACACTGTTAGATCATGAAACAAGGTTTATGACGTCATTATGGAGCGTGACGTCACCTGCTATGACGTCATTTGACAACAGAACTGATAATGGCCTGTAGTTGAGGAATCAGCGGGCCGCTCATTTCTGTAACTAGAGGGCGGTTTCATCATAATACCGTCCATTTTATCTATAATACTATGATCTATTCATCATTGTCAAATTTAGTCTGTGTGCACATAATAAAGCGTGTGTAGTTTGAAAAGGGAACTACTTTCTCTTGCGATGGTGTAAGTTGAAGGAGTGATATGATTAACCTTTGACCTAGAGGAACTTTGACCTGGTTTAAATAATGAATTTCTTTTCACGAAAAAACAGCGTAAAACGAGTTGAATTAGAATGGGGATAACTGTACTGTGTTTGACGAATTGGGGACATTATACTTGTGGTTATATAGCCGCAAATTTTGTTATATCGGCGACGCGTAAGCTAAATTTGCGGCTATATAACCACCGGTATACGTCCCCAATTCGTCAAACACAGTACAGTTATCCCCAAATTATAAAGAAAAGTAAGATATAACCACAATCTGTCAGCACTATGTCAGTAGTTTTAGGCTACTTTCACACATTTTTCATGCTTCAAAAATTTCAAGTTTACCAAAAATTTACACTTTATTGTTCTATTCCAGTCTTCTTGGTGGAATGTTTCCTTTACCCAGAATCCTCTATGCTATGGGGAATGATGGCCTTCTGTTTCGGTTCCTCGGTAAAGTTGTTCCTCGTTTCCAGACACCTGTGGTGGGGACTCTCATCTCAGGTTGTTTCGCAGGTAAGTTACCTGTAGTCTTGTACCACTATTGGCAGAAAATACCAGACCAGTGAATCCCCTGTTGTGACAATGGGAAAGATTTACGTAAAAAATGATGGAAATTTAAGTTTAAATGGGGGAGATTAAAATATAAAATAGGCAAGATTTAACTTTGTTATAGGTGAGATTTAACTTTGTGATGGATGAGATTTAACTTTGTGATGGGTGAGATTTAACTTTGTTATGGGTGAAAGTTCACCGTAAAATTGGTGAGATTTAACTTTCAGATGGTTGAGATTTAGCTTAAAATGGGGAGATTTAACTGCACCGATTTACATCTTCCCTCCAGGTACCATGGCGATGCTGTTCGACCTGAAGGAGTTGGTGGACATGATGTCGATAGGTACACTGCTGGCCTACACCTTGGTGGCAGTCTGTGTTCTTATACTCAGGTAAGGCAATCTCCTGTGTACAAAGTCTTCAGTTCTCTGTAGTCTTCATTAGTTGCTATACTCACCTTAAAGGAAATGGTAGGATATTGGAATTTTGGGTGGACTGGAAATTTCAAGTTTTAAAGTTTAAATAGTTGTTATAAATTGAAAAATCTACAGAGAATCGCCATCTTATCTTCCTCCTTACACTTGCAACATTTGGCTCTAAAGAGCTTTATCTTCCCTTCAGGTAAAATACTTTAGTTTCATTGGTCAATGACGCTTTAACAAGTTTCCGTGTCACCCCACCGAGGAGGGTGACAACTGGAAAAAATATTACCCATTGCCATGGTTACCATGAAACTCTCTGCCGAGAAGCTGTATAAGCTAACAATCGTATGACATCATAATATGACGCATGCAGTGCACAGAGTTCGAAAACCGTTCTATTAGCTGTTTTTTAGTTCACTATGTACACATTTATTTTACCGATTTTCACTGCTGTATTTAAACTATTTTATACATGGAACTGTTTGCACACTCAACCTAAACATAATTAACCATTTTTATAGCAGTTTTAAGCTTGTCAAAATATGTTTCACTGATTTTAAAATTCCAGTCGGGAAACTGACGCCATTTTCTTTACGTGTCATAAAGTCGGTAGCGATCTTCAAATAAAATATAATGATATTTTGTACATTTAACATGGCGGTAAGATAAATATGTTGTATGCTTAGCCCTCGGGTAATACGGTCTGATGTATGCCTTTTATAGCAGTGTCATCCCTCGCCTACTGGATCGGGTGACACTGCTATAAACAGGCGTACATCAGACCGTATTACCCTCGAGAGAAGCATACAACTTATAGTGTACATATTCCAATCTGGATATATACCAGTGTGCATTATTCAAATCTGGATATATATCTGTTTGCATGTTTGAGTATGAATTTTACCTGTGTGCATCTTCTTGTGTATATATTTACCTGTGTGCATCTTCTTGTATGTACAGTCGAGCACTGTTGTGTCGAACTCTGATAACTCAATATCTCGGTTGTCTCGACATAATATCTCGGTCCCGGCAAAATCCTTCATAATTTATCATTATTCAAGCTCTTTTAACTCAGTACGGATGTCTCAATATGTTGATTATCTCAATATAATTTCATGGTCCAAACAAGCAAAATTACCCTTTTAGCTTGATATTTGCCAAGAGACTCGATATTCACCTACATTTCATGGGCAAGTATCCCTCTAAACTGAGTTTTTTTCCACACATTTACACACATTGCAGCATGAATCAAAGGGATGTGGTAGTGTAAACTAATTAAGGCTAATTAAGTTGAAGGTGTCACTTGTTTGTTATTTAATTAGGATTAATTAAGAAAGTTTTAATTAGGAAGTACTCACTGTTACGACTAAACACCACTGATAACAGATTATAGTTTCGAATCAAAACATACTGAGAAGTGTTTTGTTTTCTTAAACATAGTGATATGTGATGGATATGCCCTGGTCGGATGTCTTGAAGTTCGGATAACTCGATATTTTTTCTTGGTCCCATGAATATCGAGACAATGGAGCTTGACTGTATATTTACCTGTGTGCATCTTCTTGTTTGTATATTTACCTGTGTGCATATGCTTGTGTGTATGGGAGGTGGGGTATCCTAGAGGTTAAAGCGTGTGCTCGCCACGCTGAAGACCTGGGATCGATTCCCCACATGGGCACAATGTGTGAAGCCCATTTACTGTGTCCCCTGCCGTGATATTGCTGGAATATTGCTAAAAGCAGCGTAACCCCAACTCACTCACTCACTCACTCACTCACTCACTTGTGTGTATATTCACCTTTATGCATGTTCCAGGTATCAGCCAGATGAGTACATGACCGGAGAAGTGCCTGACCAGCCTTTAACTGGGCCGATATCATCCCGTGACCTGTTCTCTCCACGGTCCTGCGAGCCCACCCGCGTCTCAGGCAGATTGACATCATATTGTGTTGGATTCCTGCGTAAGTTGGGACAGTAGGGTAGGCTCATGGTGTTTGCCTATCATGCCTGGGTTCAGTTCTTTACGGGGCATGCCATGATATTGCTGGAATATTGTTTGAAGCTGCATAAAACTAAATTCACTCAGTTCTACAAGGGTAGAGTGTGTGACATTCATTTCTAGTGTTCTACTCTTGCTGGAAACAGCATTGAAACCAAGTTTATAACTCACACTTTGGAAGTTAAACCAAAGGAGATTAAGTATATTTAGGGACCGTTCATAATTTATGGCTAGTGGGGTGATGATGATTTTTATGGACAAGCATGTACAATCTGAATGACTCCCCCTAAAATGCATGTACAAAGTAAGTGACCCCCTGCCTGTTTTGTACAAAATCTATGCCCCACCCTCCCATAATTTTTAAGCATAATGTTTTAATATTATTATGTACAATATTGATGACCCCCCTACCTCCCCAGAACAAAAAATGGTGGGACCCCCCTCCCTCGCTCTTAAAATCATTATGACCCCCCTTCCCTTAGAGGTTGTTTCCCATCCTTGTGGTTAGTAAGAGGGGAGTTAGTGCACTGTGTGTCGGTACACTGTGTCAGAGTGGGTTATTATTGCTGGTGGTTCGTGGCCCTAATGCATAGAGCTCAGGTCACAAATCAGTTGAAGTTAAGCAACGTTGAGCACGGACAGTCCTTGGATGGGTGACCGTGTTTGGCAGCTTGGCTCCTGAGAGAATCTTGGACTTCACTCCTGCCCCACAATGAAGCACATGTGATAGTGGTCTCACCTTAGGCAAGTGAGTTTGTTCAAAATTGCCTCTGTTGACCCAGCAGAAAATGGGTACCTGGTGGGATAAGTCATGTGACTATAACCTTCTAGCGCCCTACAGGCAGCTTGGGTTATCCAGGGTAATTATTATCTGATTGTGCCCTTAAGCAGGATATGAAGCCTGAATAGGCGAGTTATAAATATTAAGCATTGTTATAATTCTATTATAAAATTCAGGGGCTGGTACAAAAGACTCTCATTAGTCTGAACTAGTACAAGTAGCCACAGAAAAGTGAATCTTGTTGCATAATAAGTGCAATGACGTGTTTAACCCTCTTTCAGTTCACATATATGAATGGTAAGCCTGTTTGTTTCATAACAATGTTTGTTTTCAGTTCTTACAATCTGTGCATTTTGTGCTGTGTTGATCTACGCGGCTCCGGAACTGGAAAAATATACATGGTGGGCAATAGTCATGGCAGTTATGTTTGGCTCTGCAGTTCTGATGACAGTCATTGTTGTCTGGAGACAACCACAGAATAAAAGTAAACTATGGTTTAAGGTACGTCTCATGAACTATCTCAACGAACTACTTCATGGATGTATTTCTTCATTGTGTCCACAAAAGGCGACTATGCTTGTTGTAAGAGGCGACTAACGGGATCAGGTGGTCAGGCTCGCTGACTTGTTTGACACATGTCATCGGTTCACCAATTGTGCAGATCGATGCTCATGCTGTTGATCACTGGATTGTCTGGTCCAGACTCGATGATTTACAGACAGCCGCCATATAGGAATATTGCTGAGTGTGGCGTAAAACTAAACTCACTCACTCACTCATTTCATTGTGTCTGATTACCCACACTACCCTTGATGCTCTTGCTGAGTTCTGACACCCTTATTTCCCCTTTACATCTTCAAAGGTACCCTATCTACCCTCGATTATTTCTGACACCCTTATTTCCCCTTTACATCTTCAAAGGTCCCCTATCTACCCTTGATGCTCTTGCTGAGTTCTGACACCCATATTTCCCTTTACATCTTCAAAGGTACATCTTCAAAGACACCCTTATTTCCCCTATCTACCCTCTATCATTTCTGACACACCCTTATTTCCCCTTTACATCTTCAAAGGTCCCCTATCTACCCTTGATGCTCTTGCTGAGTTCTGACACCCATATTTCCCCACTACATCTTCAAAGGTACCCTATCTACCCTGGATCATTTCTGACACCCTTATTTCCCTGCCCCTTCAAATCCCTGTCAAACCCTCGATTTCTGTCACCCCTTATTTCCTTTACATCTTCTAGGTACCCTGTCTACCCTCGATCATTTCTGACACCCTTATTTCCCCTTTACATCTTCAAAGGTACCCTATCTACCCCCTGTCTACCCTTATTTCGATCTTCATTTCTGACACCCTTATTTCCCCTTTACATCTTCAAAGGTACCCTATCTACCCTCGATTATTTCTTATACCCTTATTTCCCCTTTACATCTTCAAAGGTACCCTGTCTACCCTCGATCATTTCTTACACCCTTATTTCCCCTTTACATCTTCAAAGGCACCCTGTCAACTTGGGCTCATTTCTGACACCTTTATTTCCCCTTATGTCTTTAAAGTTACCTACCCTACCCCTTATCTCAACCTCTGTGGCGACTTATATTTCTAGTTTTCATCAACAGGTTCCGGGTTTACCTTGGGTCCCTGCTCTTAGCGCCTTCATCAACATCTATTTAATGATGAAACTCTCCGTTCCGACGTGGATCAGGTTTGGGGTCTGGATGTTTATAGGTAAGGATTCCACCAATCAAATACTCTGTGCTGTTTGTCTTAAGCTGTGATAGTTCCCACATAGAGAATGGGAATTGCTAGATTCGTGTTCCAGTTGTGTTGGATTTGACCGTTCACTAACTAGCCATCGGCGTCCTCACACCTGAATATGTATTATCTGTGTATGTAGTTAAGCATAGACTTAGTAAAAATCTATTTACACTTCTTTGCCTCATGGTTAAAAGGGGGCAGGGGTGGCTCTGTCTTTAAAGGCACTGCAATTCATAGTGAGAGTTGCTTCCCTTGGGCACACCAGACACTTGTGATTATGGTTTCGATCCTGGTTAGCCCAAATTTTGTTCCCTGACCATAACCATGCTTTTGAGTTTCACCAAAGTGGTTAATGTCTGAGACGTCCCTTTGTGCTTTCTCCCACATTTCCTCTCCATGATAGAATAAATACATGAATAATGAGTGTATTTTTATAGCACTAAATACTCCCGGCACTAAGTGTCTTCTCCAAGCACTTGCACAGCACATTAGTACCCCAGATAATCCAAGCTGCCTGTGAGGCGCTAGAAGGTAATAGTCACATGACTTATCCCACCGGGTACCTATTTTCTGCTGGTTGAACAGAGGCATGTTTGAACAAACTCACTTGCCTAAGTAGGACTGAAGTCCTAGAAACTCTCAGGAGTCAATCTGCCAAACACAGTCACCCATCCAAGGCCTCCCCACGCCTAACGTTGCTTAACTTCAGCTGATATGTAACCTGAGCACTGTGCACAGGACCACACGCCTCCACTGATTATTGTTCAAAGTGGCATCAAACCCATCTCTCCTTCACACTGAAATTTAAACCATTTGCAGAGGCCCAGATAAGCTGCGTATCCAGGTAAAATGCGCATAGAAAATGTCCAATTACGCATTGAAAAATAATTGTTGCGTACCAATTACGCATTTAAAATGTTAGATACGCAAAAAGTTTAAAACAAATGCGTACGGAATAAATTTATAAAAATAGCTTGCGTAGTGAAAAAGACATCGATTGATATCAAGTTGTACTGTTAGTATAGGACTAGTGTTGTACTGTCAGTAGAGGATGAGTCATTTTTTATGAAATCATTTCCATTGTGTTTAAGTTGGTTTTGATTAGTTATGACAAAAGGCAGAACATACCTGCTTAGTAAACTTACTCAATGACATAATATTTAGGTGAGTAAAATGACTGAAATACCCACATATTTGAAAGCAGTGGGTAACGGAAAATGACATACCCACTCAACATTCATAATACCCACTCCAAAAAAATACAGTGGGTACAGTACCCACATGAGCTAAATCTTATCTGGAGCTCTGCATTTGCTTTGAATTCCCAAAGTAGATATAAGCTTATTCTTGCAGAACCCATTCAATAGTATTGCTTGGTTATTCCAGTCAGTACCATGCCATCTCACTCCGATTTCTAAATGCACTAACCTTGACCTTTGCACTCACCTTGACCTTTCCCTCACCAGGATTTTCCATATACTTCTCCTATGGCATCTGGCAGAGCAGTGGTTATTTTGACCCCAAGAAGGACAATCCCCCTGTCTCAAAGTTCGAACTCGTGAATGATGATGATGATGATGAAGATGTGTTATTGATACAGCGGCCCCATGAACAGCTGTATAGTGATGAAGAATCCGGGACGTGATAGAAGATATTGCGTGTCCCACCATGTCTGATATACCATGTGTGTTATGTTGTGTGTGCTGTTCTGTGTTATTCCATGTCTGATATACAATGTGTGTTATGTTGTGTGTACCACTCAGTGTGTGTTATGTTGTGTGTTCTGTTCTAGCTGTGTTATTCCATGTGTGCAACACAAAGTGTGAGGGGCCACAAAAATAATAATTCTTGGTTTTCAGGGTTTTCCCATCAAGTTACTCATTACTCTGAATTTTGTAATAGCAGATGGTAGTTGTGAAAATTTATCAGAATTTGCATTAAAATATGTTTTGTTTATCTATATTCCAGCTAACTATAAAATGTATTTTTATCTTGCATTATGTGTATAATCAAACTCAAGGTTTTACTGTTTTCTTTGTTGAATATATGTGTGTAATATTAAGAGGTTAACATGACAGTTTCCGATTCACCAGTCATATCAGCACGAGACTACCATATCAGCCTGAGGGCCAAACCTATATGATAAAAGTTTGTTTCACAATGTATGTGGTGAATGTGTTAAATGATATGTTACATAATGTATGTGGTGAATGTGTGCTATGGAAAGTGAATGTGTGTTGCCACATGCTATACAATGCTTTCATCACACTGTTTAGTGAATGTGTGATATGGAAAGTGACTGTTACATATTTTGTGATGAACGTGTGTTATATGACCTGTATGTGACAATATGTGTGATGAATGCGTGTTGCACAGGCGGATCCAGAGGGAGAGTGCAGGGGTGCACACCCCCATTTTGTCCTGAAAGTTTATTTAATGACCATTGAAACTGACTCATGAAAACGGGTGAAAATGAACTGTGCACCCCCCTTTTTACTATGCAAACCCACCCCTCCACCCCCCCACTCTCTCAATAAGCTGTATCAGCCCCTGTGTTGTCTCATGTTATACAATATGTTGATCACTCCTGTTGTAAAGCCACACACATGATACAGTATGGACGAGGCATGTGTGATAAGATTATATGTTTGACATACATTTGTTAAGACTATATATGTAAAGCTGGTGTGTTACACAGTTTGTAAACCTTTATGTTTGTGATACACATTTGGTGTGATTGTGTTACCATGGTTACATAATGTGATACGTTTTACAATACTATACCATATGTGTTTGTCAACATATGCAATACATATTTGTGATATGTGTATATATATACACACACGGACGCACACACACATTGAGTATGTCAATGGATCTCATGAAGAGTATCTCATGCAAATTATTCCTTATTTATATTGAATTTTGTCAACTGTATCTTGACACCAAACTGGATTATGAAACAAACTGTGTCAGAGAATGACATAAGTGTTTGACTTATATTTATCATTTTGCTTGCCATATTATCCTTGCCAAATGAACTCTTCATGTTTATATTCTGACATAACTGACAGACTGGGCTTAATTCCCACCAAGCTTTTTATAGTTCTGCAACAAATATCAACATATGCTGCTGGAACATTCCAAACATTCTCACATGCTGGAACATCCCAAACATTCTCACATGCTGGAACATCCCAAACATTCTCACATGCTGGAACATTCCAAACATTCTCACATGCTGGAACATCCCAAACATTCTCACATGCTGGAACATCCCAAACATTCTCACATGCTGGAACATCCCAAACATTCTCACATGCTGGAACATTCCAAACATTCTCACATGCTGGAACATCCCAAACATTCTCACATGCTGGAACATCCCAAACATTCTCACATGCTGGAACATCCCAAACATTCTCACATGCTGGAACATCCCAAACATTCTCACATGCTGGAACATTCCAAACATTCTCACATGCTGGAACATTCCAAACATTCTCACATGCTGGAACATTCCAAACATTCTCACATGCTGGAACAAACATTCTCCATGCTTGACATTCATTCACATGCTGGAACATTCCAAACATTCTCACATGCTGGAACATTCCCAAACATTCTCACATGCTGGAACATTCCAAACATTCTCACATGCTGGAACATTCCAAACATTCTCACATGCTGGAACATTCCACACATTCTCACATGCTGGAACATTCCAAACATTCTCACATGCTGGAACATTCCAAACATTCTCACATGCTGGAACATTCCAAACATTCTCACATGCTGGAACATTTCAAACAGTCTCACATACTTGAATGTTCCAAACATTCTCATATGCTGGAACATTCCAAACATCCACACATGCTGGAACATTTCAAACATTCTCACATACATGAACATTCCAAACATTCTCACATGCTGGAACATTCCAAACATCTCTGCACACCGGTTCAAACTTCTTTCACACATGCTGGAACATTTCAAACATTCTCACATGCTGGAACATTCCAAACATTCTCACATGCTGGAACATTCCAAACATGCTCACATGCTGGAAGGTGTCCAAACATTTTGAGGACTGTAGTCGTTAGAGCCGCCAGAGTCATATGTGGGTTCGGAAAAGAGGTTAAAATATGGTACTTGTTGGTCCTGCCTGGCGCTTTCGGCATTAATGGGTACAACAAGGACTGGTAGGCTCGAGTCAGTAAAATGTGTCTGAGTGGGGTATTCATGCTTCTCTGTGGCATGGTATCTCAGTGGGCTAGCACTATAAAACCAGCTTCAGTCTGGGCTGCTAGTACAAGCAGCCGCACATTCACATACAAGCACGCATGCATGTCGTCTTACATATGGCATTAAATATTCTCAAGCACCTAACGTTAAACCCAATTCCCACCACCACATGCTGGAACATTCCAAACATTCTCAGATACTTGAACATTCTCACATGCTTGAACATTCCTAACATTCTAACATTCTGGAACATTCCAAACATCCACACATGCTGGAACTCTCCAAACTTCTCACATGCTGGAACATTCCAAACTTCCACACATGCTTAAACATTGAATACATTCTCACATGTTGGAACATTCCAAACAGTCTCACATACTTGGATGTTCCAAACAGTTTCACATATTTGAACATTCCAAACATTCTCACATACTTGAAGATTCCAAACATTCTCACATGCTGGAAAATTCCAAACATTCTCACATGCTGGAACATTTCAAACAGTCTCACATACTTGAGTGTTCCAAACAGGCTCACATGGTTGAACATTCCAAACTTCTCACATACTGGAACATTCCAAACATCTACACATGCTGGAACATTCCAAACTTCTCACATGCTTGAATGTTCCAAACATTCTCACATGCTGGAACATTCCAAACAGGCTCACATGCTTGAACATTCCAAACATTCTCATATGCTGGAACATTCACATATATTGTTCTTATTTCAAATCAAAATGCACATATTTAGATAGCTTGATAATACACTTTCATGATGATGTGATAAAGTGCAGTTTTAGGGGCTGCCGTGTTACCTTTGTGGTGTAGCCTATCAGATGTAGCTGATTTTGAATCAGAGAGGAACTCACAAGTCTCCACATACAACTTATATTAAGTAAACTACTTTTAGAGTTGAATGAAGATGCATATATGGATCTGACGGGTATAGCAACTGTTTCTTTGTTGTCATGGCCATTTACTCTATGTTTTTAGTTGAAATACGTACAATGAACTGCTGTTATACTGAGCTTGGTGCTCAATGGTTATATCCATAGGTTACTGTTCTCCATTCCTGTGGGTAAGATAAATACTTGTACATATTTGAGGGGTCTTTGTTTTAAACCAATTGCTGGTGTATTCACCACTGGAATCTCTGGTTTGGAAAATATTTTTAGTGAGGATATAATTTTGCCGCTGTACTTGTGATAATACATTTTGAGGTAATATGACATTAATGTGGCAGTTGGAGTCATTAATTCCAGCCCAATCCAACCAGTCCCAAAGATATCAAACACAATCCAGACTGAACCAGTAAATCCATGTTTGAATAAGTTTGAAATGGAAATCATTTTGAGTTTGTTTTTGTTTTTAATGTTAATGGTGCACTCAGCAATATTCCAGCTATATCGCGGCGGTCTGTAAATGATTGAATCTTGACCAGGCAATCCAGTTATCAACAGCATGTTGGGATTCCATGACATGTGTCAACCAAGTCAGCAAGCCTGACCACTCAGTCACTTAAGTGGTCTCTTACCACACGCATGGGTTGCTGAAGACCAATTCTGACCCGGATCTTCATGGGGCAAGTCAGTTTGAAGTAAGAAATGTCGACATGCGGAAAGTTGGGAACAAATATTCCATTCATTGCTGGAAATATGAAAAAAAGGGACCCAAAGCCATGGTGGTGCCTGGACCAGACAATCGTATCCCACCCGTGAAGATCCCGGTTAGAATTGATCTTCAGTAACCCATGCTTGTCGTAAGACGCGACTAACGGGATCGGGTGGTCAGGCTCGTTGACTTGGTTGACACATGTCGTCGTATCCCAATTGTGTAGATCGATGTTGATCACTGGATTGTCTGGTCCAGACTCGATTATTTCCATATAGCTGGAACATTGCTGAGTGTGGAATATTGCTGATCAATGTTCATGATATCAATCCCTGGCATGTCTGATTGCCGTGATTATTTACAGACAACACTCTCCTTATAAACAAACTTTATGGAAAACAACTTATTTATTTCGTGAGTGCGTTTCGATACAGATTCTTGTTGCGTTGTCACGCAGGAACCTGTATCGTCGTCCTCATGAAACAAAGAAGTTGTCCATAATTTTTTGTCCTTATTGTATTTCAATACACACAAATATCACAGTCTCATTTCTGAGTGTAGCCTTAAAAAACCCAGTGATTCAAGCACATTTATCGTGTATGCTAATTTGATATTGCTGGAAAAAACAGGCACAAACCTAATCGCTCACTCAAACTGGAAATGATCTGGTACATACAAGACTCTTGTTCACTTATTACGAGTTCACTTACAACTTTTACACTCTCTCTCATTCAGTGGGTTACTGTTTGTATACTCTGGGAAATCCTATGTAATGTACTGACAATAAACCTGTTATTAACAACAATCAATTGTATCCCAAGTCTAAGAATGTATTTTGTTGAAAATTATTAGGTTTGACATAACTTCTTCTTATGGACATATTAAATTTTAGAACCGCCATTGATTTATATTTTATTATATCTATCCATCCATCCATCCGTCCGTCCGTGTATCTACGTACGTACGTACGTACATACGCATTCGGTTTCAATCCGTTTCGTAAAATATTCGTCGGTCATCAATGGAATGGAGATATTGCATGCGGTCGCTCTTTTCCGTGTGACCTGTGATCTTACAGAATATTGTTCGTCACTAAAGCACGGCAAAGAGAAACACTTTGAACTGTTGAACTCTCTTGTGATGTGCCACTTGGTGGTAACGTGCCCGAAACGGTTCCAAATAGAACATGTCCTGAACAAATATGTATTCATTATGCTCGCCTGAAGCGCTCATAATGACGATAGGAATTCTTGTTTGTGATGACCTGACTACGGTAGTTAGGTTTGCATCACTGTGTTGAGGGGACGGGAACATATGATTTTAGCAGTTGTGTTTTATGGCGTTCCCTGGACTTTTAACAACATACTCGAGATCGTCGTGTCAAAAATGTTTTAGCAACCAAGTGATAACTGATGGAAAAATCTTGATATTTTACTAACGCTTCACACACTCAGAAACATTTTGTTGTAAGTTTAAAGCTTAAGCGGCTACTGTTATTCTTTCTATAATGTTTTGTTTCTCATTTCCTTGCAATCTTAAATACTCACCTTATTCTTGTTCTTATAACCATTTCAATATATATCTCCGCTGTTGAAACTTAATTTTTTCACATAAGTATATATACAGAATACTAAACGATGTCCCTTGTAATACCATATTTATGAAAGCGAGTTAGATACCAATACCATTCAGGAGTTTCACAAATATGGTATTACACGGGACATCGTTTAATATTTTAGTTTTTACTCACCCAACATTAGAAAAATAATATCGAGCAAAGTAATTCTTTCCTAAGAATTCAACGAGTGTGATGACTCTCAGCTTTCCGCGAGTCAAGCAAGGTCTAATACTATTGTGACAGAGGTATAAGCATTGTGACGTCATAACTGTAAACCACTTTGACGTCATACGTACGACATCACGTGATGTTATTACACAATGTGTAATTGTGTAACCTTATTAAAAAGTGATATCTTCAACGGATGAGGAATAACTGGCTTTATTACCCACGTAGTCAACGTATGGGTAGTTGCATGCTAATCTCGCACGTCACACGAGTGTCGTATCGCGTTGACCTGTGTCGTAACAACTTGACCTAAGATTCTAACGATTTGATTGGATGACCGATGACCTCTCAATTAGGTCACGTTGTGACGGAACTACAGTTTCATTCATAACAAACACGTGAATTCATTCATTCTACAACTTATATGCATTGTGGGAATGTAAACATTGTGAACGTTGCCGTATCGCTGTTTAATTGTGAGTCGAACTGAGACATTGTATGCGTCGAAAAACATAAACGCAAAGTTTCCACCAGTGAGGTTAGCCGAGTGAAGCAAATGCAAACTAAGAAACGGGGTGCTACGGAGTAGTTAAATGTAGGAGGCTGTACGAGGCGATGACAACTGACATGCATCGTGACGTCCGTTACCAAGGGAGCAGACGAGCAAGGCATATTGACGTCATTACAGTGTGACGTCATGCAAAAAATGTACTACAGAACAACATTCTTCCGCAACCTCTTTATGAAACCGGTTTCGGTTTGAAACCATACCAATACAAACATACGCTATTTTGTCAATTTAATGCATGTAAGACGTGGGTCATAAATAAAATACCACACTCGGTCTCATAACATACGAATTATACGAAACTCGTGACCTTCCTATGGTTTCTGACCTCGCTTTCGCTCGGGCAGATACCATAATAAAGACACTCGTTTCGTATAATTCGTATGTAATGAGACCTCGTGTAGTATTCTCTATGTACTCTTTGCAGTGTTTGTGGGTGCTATAGCATGCGTGCGAGTATACATGTTTTGGTGGGGTCCGCTGCTTGTATAGTCCGTTTGACTTCATTTTAGACCGATGAATTGCTCACTAACACAAAATCTAATAATTGCAACCAAACCAAATTTTGCACAGTCACATGAAATCGACAGACTAACTCTGATGATTTGTCTCATAATTTTAGACACCCGAATAAAAAAAGTTGTTTAACAAACAATCATTATTTTGTTGTCACTTTTCGCCATTTCTTACGAGGGGTGACCACTTGGACTTATATCGGTATTACAATGCTAGCCATTTGAAATAGTTGAACAGAAGATGCCCCACTCCGACACAGTACACTGACACCGAGCCGATCAGTCCTTATCCTATGGATTTAATGCCATGCTTTAGGCAAAGTAACAATAGGTACCACGCCTCAACGTCGCTTGGTATGACGCGTTTGGGGATCGGAATACTTAATCACGGGATCCAGGAAAAGTCGTGCATACTTGCGCGCGTGTGTGCGTTGACTATATACGTATTTTTCGTTTGCTCCATGATTTCACGTGTCAAGGAAACGCGTGAAACACAATTACCACAATAAATGTACAGATGAAATGACGTCAAGCGCTGCCCCATTTCGGACTGAACATCTAAATGTCAGCGCGGAGTGATAATTTCTATCTTAATGTCAGGTAATATAACAGTAGTTCTCGTGTTCTTTAGTATAATCAACCCTGTTGTTTAATGACTCTGAAACTTTGCTGATATAACTCAAGTGCTGGAGAATACGGACAAGCGTACCAACGTGTTTCTTGGTGTGTTTAGTGGACAAGGCTTTGGCGTAAGTGCCTTATGCCACACTGTTTGCGTGTGTGCGTTGGCGTAAGTGCCTTATGCGACATTGATTGCGTGTGTGCGTGCCCCGGGAACGACTACATGAACTCAAAACATGATTGGTTACAACAATAAGTGCAAACGGTATTTTAAATACTTATCAACTGGAGGAAAATAAAGTTATTAAAATATATTTAAAAACAATAATTTTAGGGTAGATCAATGATGAGAAACAAGCATTCACATGCAATGTTGGTCTCGGGCGGCGTGGATAGTTGCTCGTGTTACCCACCTCCGTGCTTTTTCCCGACTCAATTATTTACAGACCGCCGTGATGAATGTGGATGGAATGTGCGGCGTTAAACATGTTCACCAATGATGACAGGGTTCTCCAAAACCTTAACCAAAACTCGAAGCTGGTACTTATGCATATCGATTAGGAAAAGGGCGATAAAGACACCCAGATGTTCCAGCTTATATGATGTCTTTTATTTCAAAGAGTTATGATAACTATGCTCCTTTCTCCGTCGAGTGTTGACTGACCACCATATATCCAAGGACCCGTCGACGTAAAGATAACCCTGACCTGTTGAGTATAGTTGGCTCATGTTGGGGGCGCGCACACCCTTTTGTTCTGAACGTTTAATAAATGACCATTGAAACTCTCGAAAAAATGGGCGAACCTACGTTCTCAAAAAGCAGTATCCGCCACTGTTGAAGGAGGCTGAAGTTTAGTCTGATCTTTAGGGTCGTGTAGGTTAAGGTTTAGCATGACTCTTAGTGTCGTGTATTGTAAAGTTTACCCTGACCTTTAGTGTAGCTTAATTTTTATCCTTGACTTTTAGTGTCAGTCTAGCCTGAACTTAAGAGTATAATGGGCTAAAGCTTACCCCGACCATTCCAGTAGTGTAGGTAAAGTTTAGCATGACTCTTAGTGTAGTGTATTGTAAAGTTTACTCCGACCATTCCAGTAGTGTAGGTAAAGTTTAGCTTGACCTTTAGTGTAGTGTATTGTAAAGTTTACCCCGACCATTCCAGTAGTGTAGGTAAAGTTTAGCATGACTCTTAGTGTCGTGTATTGTAAAGTTTACCCTGACCTTTAGTATATATTAATTTT